GGCCAGACGGGGGGAAACTAAAGCCAAACTCAAGTTTTCGAGCATGAGAACGGCTGCAGATTTTTTGTTAGTATGAAGTTTATTGTTATTTCTTAATCTAAACTAAAATACTGTGAGCAGAGGCTGGTGAAAAAAATAGATAGCCAATAGATTTCCCTGCCTAACCCAGTACGTGCCTTCAAATTAAAGGTCGGATAATTACTACAATTCCACAATAAGAGTTTATTTCCCTTCTCAGAATCAGCATTTAGAGATACAGTTAACCATCTACAGCTATATTAGGTCTCATTTAGGAAAGGAACAGTGTGAAATACATCACTAAATTTCACTATTTGTCACCAAACACAAAGTAGCACACAGGTGGTTAGCTTAACACGGTTAGCTTAACACAGTTTTCCATATGAACTCGTCATCTTTCATGTTTCTTAATGCATTCAGAGAAGTGTTTTAAGTATGTCTGTCCAGACTGTGTCCACCTTAAATCTCTTTTAAAAAGGATAAAGGGAAAACAAAAAAAGGCATTGGCTGGAACAACTCCTTCTAAAAGGCCGGCTGTAGGACTTAGCTTTGTCTTTGGTTCACTTTGTTAAATTTATTTGGGGCTTGTCAGGTCTCAGCTCCTTTACATGGATTTTTTCCACCATTATCCTTCGAAAATGCCAAAGCCATTCATTTTGGTGATGCTGATTTATTTATTAATTTTCCCTAGCAACTACATTAAATTAGTTATTTCGCTGCATATCCGGGGTGCTTTGAATGAGCCAAAGAAGAGAAATGATACGTTCTGTGGGTGGAAGTGTCGTTTTTAATAATTCATATTACATGTAGCCACACACTATTAAATAAAGCTTAACTCTGTTTCCAGCAGATGAAGACGTTCCAGGTGAGTCTGCTTACAGAGGATCACTTACAAATTCTCTTTCTTTTCCACGCAGCCCTGTCCCTGCCGCCAGCAGAAATAGCCACGCCCCTCCGACCACCGTCGCCCCGGTGACCACCAGTAACGAGCTCAAGCCCTGCCCCTCCCCCTTCAAGATGAAAGCTGCCGCAGGACTACAGGAAAGGTGAGATAAATAAATAAATGAATGCATAAATAAATTAATCAATTAGTGAATGCATAAATAGATACATAAATACAAAATTAAATAAATAAAAAATAAATAAATGAATGCATAAAAAATAATAATAATAAAAAAATGAATACATGAATGAATGAATGAATGAATAAATGAATAAATGAATAAATGAATAGAATGAATGAATGAATGAATGAATGAATGAATGAATGAATGAATGAATGAATGAATGAATGAATGAATGAATAAATGAAAGAAATGGTGGACGGGGGAGAAGTTTGTCCAAACCCAACATGCTTTCAGACAGTGTTTATGTGGACGTTGTAAAGTGGGTGAAGAATCTTCTGATTTTGGTTTTTACTGGATCCAGGTGTGATATTTTGGCCAGAGCAGATAAATCAAAGCATGCCTGAACAGAAAAGGCCGAGAACACCTTTAAAAGTGTTCGTAAAGTCTGAGTTTTCTGAGCCCCGTCTTGTTTTCCAAGTATGTGCACAGCTCATCTGCTTTTACCAAAGGAAAATTATAAAATGAGTCAATAAATATCTCTTTAATTTGGGTTTGTATCCAGAACTCTGTAGATTCTTATATCCCACCATCCCTCCATATTTAAAATTTTTCCTTTGGATCCAAGCTCGTTTTGATGGTTCTACATATTCAGTACTTAATTATAACAACTCTGAGGTTCGTTCATGGAGAGATGAAGTTTTAATTGTTTTAAAAATCAAAGTTTAAATGAGCTATCAGAAGCTGTGGAAGCAAGCTCCACCTACACTTTATTTCTACATAAAAGCGGAGAAGGCTTATTTCTATGTATTTGGCACAACTGTGGCTTTCTTGATATTTATCCTCGTTGATAAATTGATCTTCTTGCTGTAATGATGTCAGATTTCCGTCAGTCACATTGTTGGGAAGTCTTCATAGGCTGTAGGATTTCTTCACACTCGGGTAGAAAGACCGAACCCATGACATTATAATTTATTTAATATCATTAACTAATTTCCCTCTGGGATTATTAAAATATTTCTGATTCTGGTTAAAGAAGGAAATGGAGAGGACAGCAGGATTTAGACTTAGAGCCCCAAACTTTGACTATTAGGACAAAAGCTTTGGTGCTTTAACATTCCGATAAATTGGTAATTAAGGTGAAAAACAGGATTAAATGGACATAAACCAGATGACTTCATGTTTACTGTAGCTAATCCGTCCTCAGATGTAATGATGTGATATTTAGGGACCAGAGGAGCAGAAATCAGATGTGTTTATGAAGGGAAGAGTCCTCTGTGATTGTTAAAGGTGCTGAGCTGCCTACGTGCTGCCGGACTCTTCACATCTGGAGAATTTGGCTCCTCAGAGTGTTTTTCTGTTTACAAAGAGAAAAGTGGAGCTGTTCCAGGAGGAGTTGATGTATATAAACCACTTAATATCCCCCCCATATCCTGACAGACTGAATGTTGGGAGGTGTTTTCTTTGTGACCTCAAAAGTTTGAATCTCTGTTCATTCAAATCCTAAATCGTCTTTTTATCTGTTTTTAACGGTCGATTTTCTAGAGATGAATCACGTTGTTTTCAGGACTGACTTAACTTGAGATAATCTTGCTTTTAATAGCTCCAAATTAATCTTAAAAGGATTTTTTTATCTGTCATATCAACATGATAGAAATTTTTTTATTTGATTTTAATATATGTAATATATATTCTCCCTAAATCTATTTCCCTGATAGATACATGTCCAGACTTTCCATAACATTGTTTAGGATTAATCCGAGCTTTTATTGTAGTAAACTAACATGGACAGAGGGCTACCTGTTGTTGCTATGAATTTTATTCTCATCAGGTCAGAGGTTCAGTCCTAAACTTTGATCAGACTTTCCTCATGGTGACGTCTTCCTTTTGGAAAAATCAAATGTCCTCAGTTTCCTTAAAGACTGCAACTATCTGAGCTGAAACTTTGTGGAGAAAGTGGGACTTTCTGAGAACATTAACCTTTCAGTCCAGGCTGAAGTGTTCAACTTCTGTA